TCGCCTCGACGCCGGTAAATCCTCCAAATTATATAACAAGTCTTTTTATTAAGACAATATGGATCAGATCCTAAATATATGTGATTTATTTCTTTCTTTTTGCAACATCTCATCTTCACCAGCCCGTTTAGAGCATTATTGTACACTGTGATCCATTTCACTGTTTTGAACTGGAGCGAATCACTTCCTGCCCCCATCTGGGTTTTGTGCATCATCCAGGCATGACTGCAACCCAGAAATGGAAGCAGACGCAGCGTCTATTCTTTAACAGAACAGCTCAAAAATAAATAAATGAAGGTGCTTTAATGGTCCAGTCTAAGTCCAGGACCTGGACCTGGTAGAGACCAAACTTCCTCCACAGCTTTTTGAAGGACTGCAGTGGAGGTTCTACAAGAAGCTGGAACCATTTCTCACACACGTCTTTTCTGTTTCTGCTTTTGTTTCATAAAGAACTGGTGGAATCTGTGTGTTTTTCCTGCCCTCAGGTTAGATTTGAATAAACACAGCAGCTGGTAAACACCAGGTCGTTTTCCTCCGGTCCTGACTGATAAAAGTCTTGAACCGAAGGAGCGTGGACCATCCAGGCAGAACCCCCTGCCTTCACCGCCGTACCCTCTGATGAGAAAGCTGATTGAGTTTGAGCTGAATGATGAGCGCTGACAGAGGAGATGAATTTGTGCGGTCGTAGGAGCAGCGCTCGCTCTGATCTCTCATTAGTCTTCAGGAACATTTAGCTCCAACCCGAGGGGGGGACGCAGGCCTCGCTCTGATTGATGTGTCTGATTACTTTCATAAAGTGCTGCGGGACGAGGTTGGAGGACTTGTGGATAAAGAAATAACTCACAGCTCCAACTCTCCCAGACAGAAGCTTCAATGTCTTTGTACCAAAAACCAGAAGCTGAAGGAGATTACATCATACTCTAACTCATCAAACTCATCAAACACATCAAACACATCAAACACATCAAACTCATCAAACACATCAAACTCATCAAACTCATCAAACTCATCAAAGATGGTTCTGAACAGAAGCTGACATTAGAGCAAAGGTTTTAAAGGATCTGCATGTTTTTTACTCTGTAAATTTAGTATTTACTCTTCTATTTATTATATGCTTTTAAGTCTGTAAGTAGAGTTTGATTGAGTCCCTTATGACAAGCCGTTCGTTTCATATACATCAGTCTGTACAGCAGGGCTGGTTTTAGGAGGCGGAGCCACGGGGGCACTGGCCCCAGCTAAATTCTGATTGGCCCCCAGAAGTCCCCCTGTCCTTTTTTTAATTAACAATTTTGCAAATCTTACAAAAAATTCCAGAACATATCAAAAACAAAGTAATTAGTATAAAGGAACAGAAAAAGAAAGAAAGAAAAAATACACAAACAAACAAAAAATGAGAGTAAAGTTGTACATACTACAGATATTTGTTGTTTTTACAGCCTTCTTGTTGTTTGAATCTGAGATTGCATTAAAATAAAATTTTACATTCATTGCAAATAGGTCAAAAAGTGGTTTCCTATGAATTACTTTACTTTTATGAATAAGAAACTTTGCCAAAGATAAAATCTGATTGATAATTTATATGGCAGAAGAGTCTTTCAGTTTAAAATCTGTGATACCAAACATAACATTTTCAAAATAAAGCAGGAAATCAGAGCAGCAATGCTTTCCAAAAGTTCTGTGAACAGGTACATTTAAAAAAAACTGTACCTGCTCACTGCCCCTGTTCTGTCACTCATCTGTAATTAGCCTGAGATCAATGAGGCTGGATGCAGTTCCAGGTCCAAACACTGGAGGCGCTAAAGAGTTAAAAAAAAAAAAAGGTCCAGCGTGAATCTCACAGGAGGTTTGAACTTTCCTGCAGGAAAAAGTCTTTCATCTGACAAACGATGGTGGCATTTCCTCACATGTTTTGTGTTTGAGAGTTTTTTTTTATCAAGGTACAGCAAAAATGTATAAAAATCAGTAAGGAGAATTTACTTTGCAACCTTAATTAAATGTTTAAATATGTGAGTCGTTAAATTTACACACTATCAAAACCAGGGATCTGTGTGCAAACATGTTGAACAAATACTTGGGCCCTCAATGAACATTTTGTCTCAGGAAAACCCTACATCTATCACTGATGTACGGCGTACTTGATGACGTTATTTTGTCTCATGAGCTGCGTTTCCATTGACCATGAAAATGCGCAAATTAAAATTTCGAAAACAAATTTGCTCAATGGAAACACGTCATTTTCGAAAATAATTACGTTTTTTGACTAAATGTTTTTTGCGCTAGGATAAGTTTGGTGTTTCAACCGTATTGAAATTGGTGTTTTTCGCAAAACTGCAATGGAAACACTTTTTTCACATCACGGGAGTCACGTGATCAACAACCGTCTGTTTCTACTGGTGGAAAAGATGATGATGAAGAAGATAACAGGAAGTAGAAGTAGTAGTAATATCACAGAAGTAGTATAAAATAGTAAACTCATGACTACAATTTCCCAAAAACACAGCATACGTAGCCGCTCCCAAGTAGGGACTTGTCTCTGGAAAGCCTCGATAAAAGACGCCGACGTCTCCTCTGATGATGAGCGCTAGTGTCGTGGTAGCAACATGCTATGTGTTTACATCCATCGCTGCCATGTTTGTAATGACTTATCATGAGAACAAACGTATTCACGTGACTTTAATAACATTTCTTACTTAATGGAAACACTGCAGCTGTGAAACTGTGTTTTTTTACATTAACAGAATATCGACAAAGTTTTGTGCACATTTGTAATGGAAACACAGTTATGGTCAGTAACATGTTTTGTCAAGCAGAACCCCACTATGGCAGGCCTTTTTAACATAAAATCAGCTTTACCACACTTACATTCCACATATCTGAAATTAGTTTATTGTAGTCATATTATTTATTTTAGATGTCTTTAATTAATTTATTATAAATTAAGCTTGAGTTTTTATAAGGGCAGAGCTTAACCTCCGTATTTGGCCTAAAACGTCTGATCTGCACCGAAGTGCACGTTGGGCAGAGAAATGTGAGTCAGATTTCTAAAACATGTTCAGGTTCCTGTTAGTCTGAATATTAACTCATAACTTTAACTAAACATATTTTTATAATTAGAATTCTTGTTTTCTTTAGGAATAAACATCTAAAGATGAAAACATTAATTTCCCAAGCTAAAGAAACCATTTAAGTTTAATAAGTAAAGCATACTCAGACGTGTTTGTCCAGAACAATTTACAAAAACAAACAAATGCATGAATTTTAATTTGATGCTTTTATGTAACGAAGCGACTCTGAGCTGGTCTCAGACAGACGCCAGAGTTCTGTTAGTTTTCTGGATCAGGTCAGAGGTACAAAACTCTGACTTTTCCTCCGATGAAAACAAATATGTTGCAGTCAGAAAGGTTTTCATGGTTTTAATCGATTCGTCTCTGATGTCTCAGAGCAAACATCGATCCTTCGTTAGCGTTTTTAGTGTTAATTAGTTCTCAGTAATCTCCAGACAAACAGCAGAGCTCAGAGAGAGGCTTTCAGGAACACAGAGATAAATAACACTAGAGTGAGCCCCGCCTGTCCCGTCCACTGTCAGCACAAGTTCACTGATATTTTTACAATAAATTAATAGAATTAATTATGTAATTAATAAGTGATGTGATTCAAACTATTTTTTAGTTTAAAAACCAACAGATGAATATATTTACAATAAAGTTTATTTAGATTATTTTTAAAGCTAAATGTTAAAAATTCTGATAAATTTGTTGTAAAGAAACAAAACAAATAAGAGGCTGCAGCTGGTGTGAGTTCCAGCTTCAACTGCTTCACAACTAAATTTAGGATTTACAATGAATCGTTTGCCTTTTTATTGATCTTTTTATTGTTGGCAGAATCTGTTTTTTTCTCAGTTAAATTTTAAGACATTTTAACAAAGATGTCCTCGCAGAAATAGAAACTCATGGTAGGTGTGTGTGTGCACACGCGTCTGTAACAGATTTAATTATCTTCTTCCAATTTTAAAAATGTTCGTTTAACAAGAAACGAGACATGATTAAAGTTGCAGCTCAGCGACCTTCACACCTAAAAACATGATGGATTGAAACACACACACACACACACACACACACACACACACACACNCACACACACACACACACACACACACACACACACACACACACACACACACGTTTGCACAGCTATCCATTTGGGGACATTCCACTGACTTCCATCACATTTCTGCAGCATTTATTTTTTTGTTAAAGTTTGTTTTTAGTTCTTCTCTAATCTTCAGTTTTACGTGTCTAAAAATGGATGAAAAATAAATTTTGACAAGCGTTCACCTCAAGTTGCTGCTGGTTATATTTGTTTCATGTCAGACACTTTTTCTAAGACTTTACAGTCTGTTGACAAGGTTCAAGCTTTTCTTTATTTATGCCACTAATACGTTTTGGTTTTGCCCTTTATTTTTGTTGTCATCGGGGTGATGCAGGGAACTGTCACCTTGCAAAACAAAAAGAATTGGACCATTAATAATATATATTTTAAAGTATGTAAACATGAGTGTAACTGGTTCCAAAATCCCATTTCAACAAATAACATCACTAATACTTCTTGTCATGAAATGTTTTTAGTTATAAGTATGGAAGGGCAGGAAAGAAGCTTGGCCCTGGTTTCTCCTCCTCTGTGAGGACACAAACTGTAGTTTGTATGATGCTCTGGGTCAGACCGTCCTCTGGTGGACAAACTGACACACTACTGGTCAGACTGCAGCATTGACGGTCCACATTTTAGCTGTTAAATACATTTTGTTGTGTACTTGGAGTCTCTAGGAGTGCAGACAAGTTGGATTTAGACTCTCCCGGTGCTGTGATGATATCTTTATTTTCTCTCTCTTTTTTTTTTCAACCAGAGCAAAAGAAAAAAACAAAGAAACATGTTCTGCTAAGGCTCATTTCTGGTCAAGCCTTGGTTCGTTTACACTCCAGTCCAGTTGGTGGCGGTAAACAGGTCACGGAGCGGGTTTGCCAACCCGGAAGAAGACGGTTTGTATTGCGCATGCGCAGGTCTCTTGTTTGCACAGAGAGCGACGTTCGGTGTTTGCTTGTGTTTACTGGCGTGAAACCAGTTTGAGTCATGGCCTATCAGCTCTACAGGAACACCACTTTGGGAAACAGTCTTCAGGAGAGTCTGGACGAGCTCATTCAGGTGACTTTGACCGGAGGCAGCCAGGCCTTTGGTCCTTTTCCCTCCCTGTCGGTTCCCTGTTAGCATCCTCATGCTAGCTCTCTGTTAGCATTACGCTAGGTGTCTGTTAGCGGTGTTTCAGTCAAGAAAAATGAACCAAAGACTCTGTAAGTTTAAAATAATAATTAGAATCCCAGCAGTTAACATATTTGAGCACATTAGAGTTCCTGTAAGAGATTTTAAATTAATTTCCACCATGAAAGTTCAGATAATAGTAGCAGAAATCCTAACTTTCACAGCTGAGCCACCAGACTCACAGGATCTAACATTTATCAGATTTTATTTCTAAATCATGTTTAAAACTTGCAGCTGCATAAAGAATGTAGAGGAAAAAGATCAATTGTCCCTCCTGTTAAACCACTTCTTTCCTTTTACTTCCTGAAGTTTAAAGATGGATCCTGGTATAAAACAGAGCCTCTTCAGCTGCAGGACCTCGGCTCTGGAACAACCTCCCACTGTCTGTGAGGTCTGCTGGCTCTCTAAATGAGTTCAAGTCTCTGTTAAAAACTCATCTGTTTAAACAGGCTGAAGAGCAGGATCATTAGGCCAGCCTTTGTTTTGTTTCATTTTATTGTTCATTTTATTACTGTACTTTGTTCATTGTTTTTATTTTATGCTCCTGTACAGCACTTTGGTTTTTATTGTGCTTTATAAATAAACGATGATGATGATGATAATTGCAGGATGAACAGTATGAAAGCAAAAAACATAAGTAACTAGACATGGGTTTTTACGATGTAAAAACAAGTGTGCATTGCCATGTAGCATGGCTTTGCCTGCAGCAGTGGATTTGCAGAATGAGCTGTGACCAAGTTCAAATGTGTTTTCTACACCAGCTTGTGCTTGTGAAGTCAGCAGGTGTTTGTAATGAGCATAATGGTGCGTTCACACCGAACGCGATTTCAGCTTCAAAATCGCAGCCA